TTACTAAGTTCGGTTATTATTTCTCTGGCTCCGTAGGCAAACTTGCTAAGCCGTAGCACCACCAAAAGTACCCCCCCCCCCCACATTCTTACCCCTATTAATGCCACAAATGCTACGCTTGTACCAGCCTCTGTTTACGCGCATGGCACACACATAGCGCAACATAAATCCTCATGATGCAACCCGACAACATATAGCGCCCTAAACGCAGAGGATGTAATGTTTATTTTTTTATTGGTATTTTTATCTCATTTTACAGTTAATGATTCTTACACCTAAAAAACCCCATGTCGCATATATCAACCTGATGTTAGGTGGCTACGCACTAATGGTTGCTGTTATAATCTATAACCTGCTTAAACTCTGTTCCAACTGCTTATGGCACTGTAATGCAATCTAAACTATGTACATATGCGATATGAACAAAAATAAAGAATAAAAAATAAAATAAAATAAAAATATATAAAAGGAACATGAAGACTTATGAATACTACAGATAGACAAACTGATAACTAGGAAACAATGTATAGGCCTGAAATCATGTTTAAAAAATAAAAAATACACCAAACTGCTACATGATAAATCACAACGAAGGAAACTTCTGTATAAGTAAAAAAACAAAACGTGCGTGCTAGCACTCCTACTACTCCTCCACAACAAGGTCCTGGAAGGTAAGTAAAGCTAGTTTTACACTTTCATTATAGTTAGTGCATTCACTAAGCTTAGGACATGGGACATTTAGGGTTAAAGGACCACTATAGTGCCAGGAAAACATACTTGTTTTCCTGGCACTATAGTGTCCTGAGGGTGCCCCCACCCTCAGGGACCCCCTCCCACCCGGCTCTGGAACTTACCTTTTTCCAGCGCTGGGCAGGGAGCTCTCCTCCTCCGATCCTCCTCCGTTCCTCCCCGTCGGCTGAATGCGCACGCGCGGCAAGAGCTGCGCGCACATTCAGCTGGTCGTATAGGAAAGCATTCACAATGCTTTCCTATGGACGCTGGCGTGCTCTCACTGTGATTTTGGGGGAAGGCTTAACCCATTCATAAACATAGCAGTTTCTCTGAAACTATGTTTAAAAAAGAATGGGTTAATCCTAGCTGAACCTGGCACCCAGACCACTTCATTAAGCTAGAGTGGTCCTTTAATGTTAGGGTTCAAATAAGGGTTAGGTTTAGGGACTTGTTTTTATTTAGTGATATTTCACATTAGGGGAATATCTATAAATTGTGAATTTTCACACTTTATTTTAACCCTTACCCCAAGGGTTAGGGTAAGAATAAAGTGTAAGAGGTTAAAATTAGACATGTGCAATTTGTTTCGGTCCGAATATGAATTCGGACGAATTTCAGGCAATTCGGACATTCGGGTACTTCCTGAGCGGTGGGTGGGGGCCCTAAATACTAATAAGGGGGGCACCTAATGTCCTCCCCCCTGAGCGGTGGGTGGGGGTCCTAAATTAGAATGGGGGGGACCTAATGTCCTCCCCCCCGGTCCCCACCCCTGAGCGGTGGGTGGGCGCCCAAAATACTAATTGGGGGGGGACCTAATGACCTCCCCCCTGGGCCCCACCCCTGAGCGGTGGGGGCCCTAAATTAGAATGAGGGGGGGACCTAAATAAAAATTGAACCCCTCCCCAGGTGACTAGGGGTCCCCAATCCCCTAGTCACCCCCTCCCCAAAAAACTCACCCCTACCTACCCCCTTTACCCTGAAAATAATTAGGGGGGCATTAACTAAGTACCTGTTTAAAAAGATAAAATAAAACTTACCATTTGATGTTTTCTTTCTTCTAAAATCTTCTTTTTTCAGCCCCAAAAAAGGGCAAATCAAAATCCATAATAACCGACGCACTTGAAAAATAAAAATAAACAAGCGCAAAAAAAAAAATCCTTCTACACCCATGGAGGGCTCTGCACAGACTGAGCTCTGCAGGGCGGAGGAAGGCTTATAAAGCCTTGCCCCACCCTGCAATTAGGCTCAGGGCACTCTGATTGGTGGGTTTAAGCCATCCAATCAGAGTGCTCTGACAGGTAAATGAAGAGACTGACAGGTAAGTCTCTACATTTACCTGTCACATCACTCTGATTGGTTGGCTTGAAATCCACCAATCAGAGTGCTCTGTGTTATTTTACACAGTGTGGGAAAGTTCTTTGGAATTTTCCCACGCTGTGTAATTTGACTCATAACTCTCTGATTGGTGGATTAAGTAACCAATCAGAAAGGTCAAGGTAAGATTTTAACAGACTGATTACAAATAAACCTGGTTCAGAAGGATCCTGAACCAAATCCAATTCCACTGGACCTGGGGAAATATTGGAAGGTTTTTGTCTCCCTTTTTTGGATCCTTTTAGTATAAACACGCTCTTCTCCCCCAGGGTCTGGGAAAGCTCCGGTTCTAAATATGGATTTGAATTAACTCAGCTCCTCTAGCTGCCAAGGCCAAAGACAAAAGAGATGGCAATAGCAACACATCTTAAATCAATCTTAGTATTATCAAAGGGATTAAGGTAAAAATGATAAATGTAATAAGAGGTCAACATCCCAAGTAGATGTATACTGTGGGGCAGCAGACTTATAACCATGTTAATAATTTCAAATACAGGATATCTTGAGTAAGGTTAAGGATACGAAAATTAAAAGCAGACCCATAGGCCTTGATGGTACTGACTGCTAATCCAGAATGGAATTTAAGCGTAAGGAATTCTAAAGCTAAGGGAATGGTGTCAGACACATGAGAAGTATGTTGAAAAGAAACCTCCCATTCTTCAAATGCCTCAAATATCTCTCTATATCTTACCTTAGTCCTGCATCTTAAAGATGAATTAATGATATCTAGCACCTGATCCAATAAAAGGAGATAGGTCAACGGCCTAACAGGGGTGCAGTCCGCATCAGTTGCTAAAGCTTGAGCAAACGATCACTGGTTCCCTGAAAGTACTCTGCAGTTAAGCCCAATGGAATCTTGGTTCCCTTGACTAACTGATGGGTCAAGGGATACCAGGATCTAGAGGTCCAGATTGGGTAAACGAGAACTAAACTCTGTACCCTATCTATGCAGATCTTCTTCAGCACTCTAATCAGTAAAGATGGAGGGAGGAAAGCACAAGGGGCTGGAATATCTAGCCACTGGAAAGGCTTTGCATCCATTTTCCAAGCCCCCTTTGTCCAAATCCTGGAGAAAAACCTGTGAGTCTGTACAGAAGTCTGGGTTGCAAACAGACCTACTTGTTTCTGGCCAAAATTGCTTTTTAAACATTGGAATAGAGCAATCTTTAATTGAACGGTTGTGAGAAAATCTCTTGAAAGAAAGAGATTCTGTCAGCTTGATCGCCTCTCTGTTACCCTAACTTTGTTTTCTAAGGCCCAAGACCAAAAATCTAGAGCCTACAAACAAAGACCCCTTGATCTTATGCCTCCTTTTTTTTTTTTTTTAAATATTGTTTTTAGTCACAAAAAAATATTTGGGTACAGAAGAAAAGAGGGGATGGTCAATCAAACAATCGTAACAGAGTGGGGTTCTTCAGCACATGATATACTTCACACAATAACAGTTAGATATTCTTTGCATTTGTTGCGAGTGTGAAACAGTCTTCTAATGTAGGCACGGCAAGGCTGGGGTGCATGTCTAAGCTATTATTTGTCCCCTATGCCAACTGGCTATCTGGGCTGGGTGTAATGGGCCCATAAAGGGTGCTGTGAGTCATAATAGACTTCGTGCCCTCAGTATGGTGTAATATTGTGGTGCGTATGCCCCGTGTTGAATTGATTTTAGGGGAGGAGGGAAGAAGAAGGGGGGTGAATCCTGCTGGGTTTGAATCATTCCAGTTCTCTGTTTTCTCCCTTGGTATAACATCATGCACACATGACCTTTTACTTAGTACAAGAACTGGCTGGTGCGAGGGGGGGGTGTAGTGGGTTTCCCACAGGGGTGTCCCCAAAACCCGATCCATGGCTCCCAGGTTTTGAGGTACCCAGCTCTTTTCCCCAATGCTGACCAGTTTATTTCTTCCATTTCCCTTGTACGCTCTACTTGTTGCACCCACTGGTCCTTGGATGGCATACCGGGTTGACGCCAGTACATTGGAATGAGGGCATTGGCTTCTCCTAGTAATATGTTCAGGAGTTGCTGTCTAAGTGGTTCCTTGAAGGAGCGGGGCCAGCCCAGTAATACCTGGGACGGGGTCAATCGGGTCTGTAGGGGGAGAATCTCTGCTATGTCAGTCAGTATGTGTTGCCAATATGGCTCTATGCCCTGACAGCTGCACCAGATGTGTTCCATGTCCCCCTGTTCCCCTGCGCATCTCCAGCATATGTCACTAACTGAGGGCCAGAATGTGTGGAGTTGCTCTGGGGTTCTGTACCATCTGGTGACTCTTTTATAAAAGGTTTCCTTGCGAGCAACACTAATTGGAGTTTTTATCACCATTTCCATAATGTGTGTCCAGTCCTTGTCCGACATGTGGATGCGGAGACCCAGTGGCGTACACATGACCCATGGGGCCCCGGTGCGAAAATTGATCCGTGGGCCCCCCCCCCCCGCACGCGGGCCGGGCTGCAACACATGGCGGTGGGCACCTGGTCGCAGGGGTTACAGGGCTGCGACCCCTGCGACCGCGGTATGTACGCCAGTGCATGCAGATGCACACACTTAAAGGACCACTCTAGGCACCCAGACCACTTCAGCTTAATGAAGTGGTCTGGGTGCCAGGTCCAGCTAGGGTTAACCCATTTTTTCATAAACATAGCAGTTTCAGAGAAACTGCTATGTTTATGAATGGGTTAAGCCTTCCCCTATTTCCTCTAGCAGCTGTCTCATTGACAGCCGCTAGAGGCGCTTGCGTGCTTCTCACTGTGATTTTCACAGTGAGAGCACGCCAGCGTCCATAGGAAAGCATTATGAATGCTTTCCTATGTGACCGGCTGAATGCGCGCGCAGCTCTTGCCGCGTGTGCACATACAGCCAACAGGGAGGAGAAGAGGAGGATCGGAGGAGGAGAGCTCTCCGCCCAGCGCTGGAAAAAGGTAAGTTTTACCCCTTTTCCCCTTTCCAGAGCTGGGCGGGAGGGGGCCCCTGAGGGTGGGGGCACCCTCAGGGCACTATAGTGCCAGGAAAACGAGTATGTTTTCCTGGCACTATAGTGGTCCTTTAAAGGATCACTACAGACACCCAGATCACATCAGCTCAATGAAGTTGTCTGGGTGTCAGGTCCCTCTAGTTTTAACCCTGCAGCTGAAAACATAGCATTATGTTTCACTGAGGGTTAATCCAGCCTCTTGTGGCTGTCTCACTGACAGCCGCTAGAGGAGCACACTGAACGTCCATAGGAAAGCATTGAGTAATGCTTTCCTATGGGCGGTTTGAATGCGTGCGCGGTCGCATTCGGAGCTGAGAGGCTGAGGGATCCCCAGCGCCAAGGGAGTCCGGCGCTGGAGAAAGGTAAGTGCTGAAGACACACACACACACTCACTTACAGACGCATACACACTAGCTAACAGACACACACATTTACTGACAGAGACACAGTCAGCGACAGACATACATACACACTCACTTACAAAACATACACTCTCATTGACAAACACACACTCACTAACAGACATCAAACAGACTCACTAACACACACACTCAGTAAGACACACACAGTAACACACTCACTGACATTCACTAGCAGACACACACACTAACACTCACTCTAATGCTCACACTAACACTCACTAGCAGACACACACACTAACACTCACTCTAACACTCACTAGCAGACACACACACTAACACTCACACACACTAACACTCACACTAACACTGACACACACACTGACACACACACTAACACTCACACTAACACTCACTAGCAGACACACACTAACACTCACTCTAACACTAGCAGACACACACACTAACACTCACACACACTAACACTACACTCACACTCACTAGCAGACACACACTAACACTCACACTAACACTCACACTAACACTCACTAGCAGACACACACTAACACTCACTCTAACACTCACACACACTAACACTCACTAGCAGACACACACACTAACACTCACTAGCAGACACACACACTAACATTCACACACACTCAAACACTAACACTAGTTTTTTTTTTAATATTTTAAATGTAATCCCCCCAGCCTCCTTACCTTTTGGAGTGCTGGGGGGATTCCCTGGGGTCCAGTGGTGCTGCTGGGCTCCTGGGCGGGTGTCCGGTCGGCAGGCGGGCGCGCGAGGGAGCACTCAGTGCTTCCTCTTCAGCTCCCTCACGCACCGCGCAGGGATGCCGGAGCAGGAAGATGACGACATCTTCCGGCTCCGGTATCAGTGCGGTGCGCAAGGGAACTGAAGAGGAAGCACTGAGTGCTCCCTCGCGCGCCCGCCTGCCGGATGTCAGCAGGGCCAGCCTCGGGGGGCCTGGGGTGGTTAGCTCCTGGGCCCCCCAGGGAAAGAGGCTGGCCCTGTGGGTACATACCGGGTCGCAGGGACGGCCGGGCCCCCTGGTGGGCCGGGCCCCGTCGCAGCCGCGACCCCTGCGACCCTGGTATGTACGCCACTGCGGAGACCCCTCATCCACTTACGCTGGAATAGGGGTACTGAATGATCTCCTTCAGTTGTCTGAAGAGTGCGGTAAATTTTTGATAGGGGATGTTTAGGGTCGCTCCCTGGGCCACATAAGCGTTCAAAGAGAGTATCGTCTCTTGGCCGCCAGTTGTGCCTCCTTTCTGATTTATATAAGTCACCACTGTCCTGCTGTCTGATTGGACTTATACTAACACTTGTAACTGGTTTAGAGAAACTAGGCCCTGTAATGCTAACTTTATTGCTTTCATCTCCAAAATGTTTATATGAAGGAGTCCCTCTCAGTCTGATCAAATTCCTCTTATCACGTTCTGGGCTGTAAATGCACCCTAACTGAGATTTGAGGCATCTGACATCTGAGTTACTGCAAAAGGCTGCTCCAAGAGGGGATAAGGAAGAGGGATTCCTAACTCCAGAATAGTCCTAAACTTCTATCCGACCTTCTTGGGGAGAAATAATTTTTATTCCCATTGGCTTTCTGTCTTAATTGATTCCATAAAAACAGCTGACGTTGTCTGCAAAGTAAAGGGAAATTACTCTAGCCCTATGATAAAGCTATTAACTCTCAAGGACCAACTCTGGCATTTCAGATGTCGACGCCAGCAAGGATGAATCAGAGGGGTTCTAAGCAGTGACTTCTCTTTCTGATTTATCCAAAATCAATAATAAGTAAGCAGACAGCATCTGCAAATTTATAATGTAAATTACTCAAGATTTGGTCTGTGGGATCCATAGATACACTGCTCCCTGTGATAGATAGCAGAGCAGGATTTACCTCTGGAGCCATTAAAGTGTAGATGTCGGGGATACCGATATAGTTCCTGAGAAGAAGACCACGCTCCTTAAATAAAGGAGATCTAAAAGCTAGTCTAAAAATCTCTAACCTCAGAATTATGCTCCATGACCCATCTGAAACATTATCATTTAGACTGGAGAGTCTTTCCCAGAAGACTCACTCTAGCCATCTGTACATTACTAAGCTTCTCTCACTCAGTAGAATCTGGCAAACCGACCTCTTCGTCAGACTCCCTAGGTGAGCACTATACCTATTCCACGTTTTAACCTGTTCTGATTGGCAAAATACACATTGGTTACCTTTCTTCCTTTTTTTTTCTCTGAGAGAACTTTAACGTGGACAAGAGGTATGTTGCTGCCCTAAAGGCATTAAAGCCAATTTACAGAGCCACTATCCATATAAAGGCTTTTTAAAATTTTAGTGTTCGCACTTTCCAAGAACTTATTTAGTTCATACCATCTTTAAATACCATCTGCACTATATTGTGTCTATTTTATCTTTTATATGTACCACAAGTTTAAGATTTTAACAAGATAACGTGAGGTAAGTAAACCCATACACAAATATATTTTATATTAAGCGCTGAACTTAAGGTGTAGGTTTTACTTATACCACTTTACAGATTTTGAAGTAATAAAGGTAGCTGTCCATTAAAGCGCCCTCAGCATTTATCGGTTATTTATAACAATGAATGTATGGTTTTAGAACCGTTATCGTCCCATCATTTTAGGTAGTCTGTTTCATCTCTCACCCAAAGTTCATAAGCCATGTGCTGCTTTTTGTTAATTGCACATTGAACTCTTATCTTAGGTTCCAATATTTTCTCCACATGAGTGATTTTAAATAAAGAAAATGTTTAACAAGCTTGTTAGGGATTCACTTTAATAATTACACTCATGTTTGTGTGGGTAACAGATCATTTGTAATTAGACATTTATCCTATCAACTGAAGAAAACTAAAAAAGATGTGAATTTTGAGGGGTCTAAAATTACAAAATAAAATTTACAGAACTTCGCACAATGTTGTAACTGGAAACCATAGGCTTGTATTAGATCCATGACTGTATTAACAAAGGAGTTACTAGACGAGCAGGAGCAGCTCCAGATACATATCCTCTTTTTGCAAACTTGCTTATGTGTCTGTGGAAGTTATTCCTGTCTAAACTTTCCCTCATGTTTCCCTATCTGTGCAGTGACTTCAGCCAGTTCATGATAATCCTTTGTTTGCATCCACTATCCTCAGTAACACTGGACGATCTACAGCCAATTCCTGACATTCTAGTTGCCTCATATTGAGATCATTTTAATAAATAAATAAAAACATGGGGCTCCTTGGATGCCTCGATTAACTAGGGACATATGATGTCTCCTGTGCAGAGAGTTGGAGTAGAAATATATTGGTTCGGGCCCTATGAGTGGCCTTCACTCCTTCTTTTGCCCCCTGGGGTGTTCTGGCCCAATATGAGTATTTCCAATGGCCTGGTCCTAAATCTCCACACCACCTTCTCCAGTGGCTTAGGATACCCAAGTCCTTTGCCATTTCCAAAGTAATCTCTAAATCACCCTAATAAGTACTGTGGAGGAACACACATTATATATATATAGCGCCAAACTCTATCCTTGATGACATACTGACCCTGCTGTTCTCGGAATTCTGGTGGAGACTAGAAAGCAAGGTGAATCTGCCTGACGCTACACAGCCAAATACTCCCTTGCATCAGAGCCTACCAAGAAAGGTTACAGCTCCACACTGGAGGAAGGACCCCCCATGACGTCTTTTTAAGCGGTATACACGGCCCAAGCAACGGACAAAGAGGATGTCGAGGTCCACCAGGAAGTCCCCACAGAGAGCGGCACTGCCTAAAGCCTGGCTGACAGCAATGGAGCCCCTACACTACCACCAGGTACCTGCTGGATATGCCCTGCGACAGCTCACCGGGTGGCTTGCACATCAACTTCCACGTGGGGGCATCGGCTGAGATGGGCCACTTGACGGGACTCATGGGACCTTTGGTGACTGTGCCTACCTATGGCTGCCGGGCTGCCACCGGGAGTAGCCATTGCTATAGAGGGGATGCTGATAGGGACTAAATTACACCAGTCGACTACATTAGACACACACCACTGTTGAGATGAGAGGCTTCACCCGTGCCTAGTCCTCTGAACCCTGTTTAATCTTACTGACACGTAGTCTAGCCTGTACCCTCACACACACAAAGTGATTAACCCACGACTAGCTTGAACATACTACAATATTAAGCATATCAAATGACAGCTAACCAACATAAGTTTTCACGCATATATGTTACACTAGTATTGATATTAGTTTTACTCTTGAAAAAAAAAAGCGCAGACTCCTATAATTGCCTTTAAATGTTGAAACGTGTACCACTTGCCCTGGGGGCATTGCAATATGTTAATTAACCTATAAGTGGCTTTTCCTGCATGCATAACTGGCAGTCTACGATAAGTTTATAATACTGTGTGTTTCACTAGCCTTGTTCATCACCCTCAGAAATATCAAGAATGGATGCAACTTTCTGTTATGCAACACCAATTCATAAAAATGCCCTATGATTTTTATTGCCTAACCTAAACCTATGTCTGAAGATCCGCATGCCCTAGCTGTTATGGCAGAGTGTGCTGTTTGTAACTTTCCGTGTACAACTTAAGTAAAGAATTTAAAAAATAAATAGATAAATAAATATACCATATGAACCATGAACACAAACATCTAAAATAGAACAAAAAACCCCCCAATCCAGTCTCTTCAGGTAGATGGTTTGAGGGTGATTGAAATTGAAGTGGTTAGGCTTTTATATATGCCTCTGCCATCTTAAATGT